CCTTGTCTTTACACGATGCTGCTGGAATCAGATGACCCACTCAGTCCCTGGGCTTGCCTTTACACGATGCTGCTGGAATCAAATGACCCACTCAGTCCCTGGGCTTGCCTTTACGCGACGCTACTGGAATCAAATGACTCACATTGACAGGTATTCGATACCGTACCTTTACTCCCCATTCCCCAGCTACAGCAGTGGTTGAAGGTTTTGCCAACATTTCTGCTCTGAATAAGATAGCCGTGCGAACCGTAGCCAAAAACTGCTCAAGGATGAGAAATCAAATTGAAAAGAGTTTTTCATGAATGCACATTTAACGTCTTGATCGTATGGCATTTCCATATACGCTATCAGGTAGTGGACTTTGCAGCCTGCCGCTTAAGCTTCTCAAGAGATTAAACGGTTTGATAGTCGAGCACTTCCGGCAGCGATTGCTCTAAGGCGATTAGATCACGTCGAGAAAGGTCTAACTATAGAGAATGTTGCTGGTCTCCCTTTATCAGCCCCAGTCTGATATAATGTATGGTACGGTCGCCCTCTTCAATCGCTGTACTGCCGTAGTAGCGATATTTGCAATCCAAACATTTTTGATCACCTTGAGGACCCACGGGTGTTCTGGAAAATGGCTCGCTTTCTCAAAAAAATAATTGACTAGATCAGATTTTACGAATTTCCGATTCCTTAAGCTATCTATGTTACTTAAGAAAATGTTCCATAAAGTATGGAAGGGAGCATTTAAGCACTGTATAAGGTAGCATGCAATACTACAACTACTCAGTTACCCCCCCCCCCAACTGCCTTTTGAGCTTAGATCACGATATTTTCAGGTGGTTCACTCCCTTCGATGGTCATGAGTGAACAGTCCACCAAAGCTGCAGTTGCGTTCTTCCGGCTAGGAGATGCACGACAACTGCGTTAGAGTCTCCCCAGAACCGCTTCGACCGCTTCCATTTTTCCTCATTTACGTCATGCGAGTGTCTGTGCCTTCTCATTGGTTGCCCTCTTTCTTCTGTTTCCTCTTCTGCGGCCACCCTGTCTCATTGCCTTAGCAAAAAAATAGTGAAGCGTTTGATTTGGCGTATTTAACATGTTCTTTTCCTTTTTCTTTACCCCATTCGCTTGACACCTCCGTTGACAATATCCTGCGCAAGAATCAGGCTATTTTGATAGTCAGATAATCTTTAATAAGTCCAAACTGGACCTAAATCTCTTCGAAGAGAAAACCATGACATATTGAGCGGCACTGAAGTGTTGCAGAATCTTACATTATCCCATAATTTCTTATTCAGTTGCTGTTAATCATAATTGCTGCAACCTATCTACCCTCCCCTTCAAAAAGCGAGAAAGTGTCGGGTGCAGACCATGCACCACAAGTGACGACGGCCTTCACAAAATGTTAATGTTTTCTGCCAATGAAATGATTAGCCTGTTGCAGTTGTATTCTATCGATTGTCACTAATTACACAACTATCATTTACCAGAAATCAGCTATCACTATGAACAACTTCTAACCAGATTTACTTGGAGGCCGTCGTCAGTTGTGTTGTTTGGTCTGCACCGACACTGCTTTTTTGAAGGGAGGTTTACTTGAATTTTCACTACTATACCTTTTTCTAGATGAAGGAACTTCTGGTACTGGCCGCCTTAGTGGCACTCAGCTACAGTCAGGACGGTGGCAACAGTGAGTAACCTTGTATATTATTTTTCGTTTTTCTACAATTCTACAAATCATCCAAGCATGGAAGCCATTCAATTATAAATTGTACATTATAAATTAGCAAATACATATAGCTAACACAAACCTTAGACTTGAAAACGTGGTCTGAAAACGAGTGACAGTAGTCACTGATAGAGTTTTGCATAGTGATTCGATCAATCGCAGTGAAACTACAACACAGTTTGTGGTTAGCAAGGAGTATCGAGAAATCTCTATAGATCCATTAAATTGGTGAATAATACAGTTATTCTTAGAACACGTTTCAGAATGTAACTATCCAGCCACTGGTACTGAGACACTGCAAAACGCCGTACCTATCAAGAACTTCCATACCTCTGGAGCGGATTTCGTCAGGTGACATCTGAAAGTGCAATTCTTCTGTAGCGACTTTTTCTTGTAAAACCCTAACACTACAAATACCAGACCAGTACCTGGCGGACGGCCTTGAAGGGCCATGCCACTCAAATGTCGATTGGCTATTAACTTTAAATGTTCGACTAGCCTGACAACTTATCTCGAGAGAGGAAAAACAGCAACTGCTGTCGAGCAGTAGCTTGGAGGGTGAAATCTACCAGGGTTATTGGGTAATTCCAGGGTTCGCTTCGCCGAGTCTTGATTCGCATTCACAAAGATTCTGCGCGATTGCTGGGAGATACTTGACAGCGTACTTATCAAGCAGACAACATCAAAAATAGTGGCCGGAACAGCCGATGACAATTTCATACCACTTAATGTCCGAATGGTACTCGAATGCTTCTAAACTTATGAAATGAATTAGAAATCTAGGCCCACCTCAATGGGGCAAGACGACTGGAATAAACTTAAGGCAATTACACGATAAGGTCGGAGGTCGAGGAAGGGGAAACCTACCCAGTGGAAAGATAGGGGAGACGGTTAAGAGTCCCTTCGAAACCTGCGTGGAGCTCGGTCACGCGCGCCGACGCTCGCTGGCGTTTTTGCAGATTTGAAAACATGGCCAATTGTTTCAAGCTAGCCACCACCACTTTAGACGTTCGATACGACACTTTTTTGTTCCGTCTGTGTAGTACCCATTTCTGCATTTGTTTTTGCTTATGATTAGTCCTAGCAAATGACCACGTTCCAACTTGTTCGACGGTAGCCGCCGCGTGCGGTGACCTACTTTCGCTAGCGCGGCACCTCAGGGGGACTCTTGTCTCGCAACTCAAAGATAGCGATCCTCTGAGGGTGCTTACCGAAACGCAATTTGCGTTGCGGCCTAGCGGGCCTACCGCAACGCTATCGGCGCGGCACGCCCACTGACTCGCTAACCGCTCGTCGCAGTACTCTAACCATTTTGAAGAGAGCGGTTAGCGTTGACGAGGGCAGCGTCATTGAATGCGTCATGGAAGCGAAAGTGAATGGGCAAAGAATGGGTCCCACTTCTTGGGTTCTGGAACCATACACACCATACCTACAAATTCCAATTTTTTCAGCTTTTTAAGTGCTATGCTGTGAGCTTAATGATCACTTGATGTTATCACATCGCAACAAGATCCAATTTTGATTTAAATTGCTATTTCAAATTGATATTTTAATGGAATTTTTTGTATGAAAGTTTTACGAGATGACAGCGGACTCTGCGACTGCGGGCCAGTGCTAGGAAGAAGGAAGAATTTTTCGATGAAAAAATAGTACTTTTGCAGACCGGCTTGGTGCATCACACACTGCAAGGATAGAAAATCGATTAAAGCCGCCATGGACTTTCAGACAGCCGACGGTGCACGTACGTTTATACACTGTTCTTTGTATATGCTGAGTGCAAATGAGGGTACACTGGAAACGCAGGATATGCGTAAGCAAGGTCGTTACTGAAAACAAAGCAACTTGAGCTGGAGCTGCTATGAATGGATCAACTCTTTTCGATCCTCAGCTCTTTATCAGGACCAACAAATGCGTCCCCTTTTTCGAAAGAATCTTGCGACTCCCATCTCTCACATGAGGTGGTAGCGGAGGGGGTCTTACTACGATCTTCTCCATTACCACCTCCCGTGATGAAGGTCTTCTACGAAGATGGTTCCCCTACCATCCACGATCACCACCCACGCTGTGACCTGACCGTATGCTCCCCAATCCACAAAACTATGAACCATTGATTTTCGAGTCGTTCTTCCTCACCATATTGGCACCTTTTTAATGATCGTTTCTTTTTTAGCATCACTCACAGTAAAGAGCTACAGTATGCCCAATGAGAAACGCGTTATTGAAGCCTTCACAAAAGAAGGGCAGAGAGCTGACGACGATTTCAGTGAGTGATATTTGTCCGAGGTATGAAAATACGAAAAATCTCCAATTTTTTCAGATTTCTGCATAGATCCTGACGTTTCTGACACGGCTGATCAGGTCTTCACTCAATATCACGGGCGTGGAGAATATTGCTGAAGCGCTCAACTATAAGATCAACAAAACTGGATGGGCTTATCTAGTTTATGAGGTACTTTAAGCTGAGTAAATGGACACAGCGCTCTCATTGTACGCTAATGGGGATCGGTTCTAGCCTACTCGTGATCTTCATGGATTTGATTCAGCCGTACCGGTACTTTTGATTCAGTAAGGGTGAGAGCACAACTGTGTGACGATACGGTGACTTAAACTTCTTGAAGGTCTCTAGGGACTCAGCGCTACGATATCCCTACTGTTTGCGAACAAGAGTAGATTGTGCGCGCATATGGAAGAGGCTCTTGAGCTTTACCTTCGCTGGTACGCCAGGAGGCCCGTCGCGCGGCAAGAGGGCTGAGTCAGCGGACGAGTCGCAACGTTTGATGTGCGATGTAGGACGTACAATGGTACATTCTATTTAACCTGACGCCGCAGGACCACATTGTACGCGTGCGAATCGTTCCATGTGACTCTGGCTGTTAGCGCGCGCGGCCCTCCTGGAGGCGTGCCTGTAAACCCGTCAATATTCTGAAAGTTGCTTTTCGGTTCGATTCTCTTTACGCGTTGATTTCTTCAAGATGCGGCAACAATCAGTCTAGAATTTGTTGTTTAGCTGTGTGAGCGAATTTGCAGCTCTGCTTGTCAACTGCAAACTTCATAATATGTACACCTTAAAAACCCCGAAGACAATTCTTAAGCGCACACTAATGAATATGACGGAAGTGAGGAAATTGACAGATTTCACCAATGAAGTGAGGGTTGTCTAACATCCATTTGAATTGTCACCTCAAGTCTGACGGTAAGTAAGCGCATGGCGCATCCCGAGAAGGTGATTCAAAGCAAAGCACTTCGTGTGGCGGAACGAAGCTTGCAGGGAAACTATGTTCAACATTCTGGGTAGCATGGTTACCTTCATATTGTCAAGGGGAGCACCACCCTCAATAATTTCTACGCTACAACTTCATTAAAGACCACAAATTTCTGCCATGAAGGAGTATTTTGTGCAGCTGGTTGAGTGGAAAGATAATCATGACTTTGTATGTTTGGAATGTTAACTGTTTCTTTCAGGAAGATAATGGAAAGACAAGAAATTACGAGCTGTTTGCTGGGCTGGTAAAAAATTAGTGCCGAAATGCAAATGCAATAAATATTGATCCAAAAGTACTGATTTTACGTAGTCAAGAAAAAAAACGGGCCAGAAATTTAAAGCAACGCTTGCCCAGATTCATTCTTAGGGCCATCATTCACGACTTTTTGGTTGAAAGAAAATCCGACGTCCGTTGATGACCGTATTAATGAATGGCGAGTACCTGCCACTGAGACTTTTCCATTGTTCTCTGAATCGCTCTCATTTGAGATCTTTGATACGAAACTAATTGAATAATGAAAGCGGAAAATGTCGGAATTTCGTAAAATGTCTGTTCTTGAAAGACGTCTATTTGTGCTTACCGAGCCTCCAGGCTTACACATATTTGGTAGATTCCAAAAAAAAGCATCAAACTCGATGAAAGCATTCTCCGATCGCAGCATGTCCGCCTTTCTTGAAACCTGGGCATTTGTTCTTGAACAGTTAGTTGTTGCTATTATTCCAAACAGGTCTAGTATGGTGAAATTTTCATTCAGGCTAACGTTTCGACAAATTCGTCGTTATCAAAGGCCTCAACTCTGACTCTACTGATCACACAAGTCGCTGAGGGAGGCTGAGCGAGTATTGACGTATCGGCACGGTGGAGTTGAGGCCTTTGACTACGACGAATTTGTAGAGACGTTAGGGTGAATAAAAATTTTACCATACTACATAAACCTGTTTGGAACAATAGAAACAACTAAATGAATCTATTAAAACAATTCTCAGGGAATCTCAAAACTGCGTCAAATCAAAGACCTCAAAATTTGTAATTGATGTCGGTTCAACTTGTGGGTTCAACTTGCGAAATAAGCTCGATGCGCAGCATTCAGCCTAAACTGGCAATTGCTTTGCGGATATAGGGTGGACAGTCTAAATGTTTACTATTCGGTGTGCCTGTTCATAAATCAAATCCTTCTATTTTATAAAGCGCTAACTTTGTGTGTCGGTTTGTATGTCTGTATGTGTGTGTATGTATGTATGTATGTATGTATGTGTATGTATGTGTGTCCGTCCGCAAAATGAAGTGAGTGAGTGATAAGGCAGCTAACGGAATAAACAAGCCGCCAACAAATCTGGGTAGCTCGCAGGATTTGCGCTATCAATGTTTTGCACAAGCATGATTGTGATAACCCAGAACGGCTATATAAACACGCACTTAGCACACTTTCGGTCATTCCACAAGGTGATGCTGTGGTAGCCGGCGAGCAGAGGAGAACGAGGTGAGTGAGTAAGGAGAGGAGGGAGAGCAGAAGAGAAATCTACGCAAGGAGGGAGTTCTGAGCGCTTGCCGCGGGGACAAGGTCTGCGTAGTGTAAAAGTAAATAGAATATTTACAAATCAAAACTACCAAGGGGAATGACGACTTAGGACACCTAAGGCCCACGTGCACAGGTCTTCACATTAATTATGGGATGGCTCCACAGCACAGTTTTTTTTGTAATCATTCTACAGCGCTATCTGTTTGATGCTTCAAAAAACCAGCGGGGCTGATGGAGAATATCTGCAACACTGTAACACTGATACAATAACTAATAATCCTAACTTAACGAGCAGTCGTTGAAGAAGAAAAAAAGATTGTACGCAATCAGCCGCGCCATAGTGTTTCCAAAAGAAGTCGAAGATGGTTTTTGAGCGCAGGAAGCAACATACATGGCACTTCGGAGTTGAAAACAATAAAATTTCTGAAATCCAAGAGAGCAGCCTTAAATAACTCGAGGAGCTGAGTCTGACGATTTTGCTCCGTCTGAAAAGAGCAATCGGTATCGAGTTATAACAAAGACTGAAAAGACGACGAGGTCAAGCGTCTCTTGCGGTTTCACGAACAAAGGTTGTTTGGGAACTAGCTAATGTACCGTTACATAGTGACATTAGTGACGGCGACAATTATAAGTTCAGCACTTATGTTTGCACTACTTTCCAGGTGCGACATTTTGAAATAGCGGATGAATATAGTCGAATTATCGTAGAATTCGTATGAACGATGAATTTCCTGTCTGTGGAAATGACGGCAATAGATAAAGTAGAAACGGCGCGGTCAATAATTTTCTATAAAATTTAATGAAAGAAGGGAAGTGATGAGCAGCTTTAGATGGTTAGGCCGTAATTGCAACAACTTTACCCCATCACTTTCAATCAGCTAAAATAGAGAGAAACTTATGAAGAGGTTCATTTTTGCTATGTATACTCTCATAATATCATCGTCACAATCAGCGATCAGTTCCCAGAATCGCTCAATGTCTCTGAAAGGATTTCTAGTCGCATATCCGTACTAGCTGTTCGGACAAATCACTCTGTTGGGCCTGAGCGCTCCCGTGTATGAGGTTATCATATAGCAAAAATGCATAAACTGTTAAAGAAAATAGAATCAAATAAATAAATAATAAATAAATAGCATAAAAACATCTTTCAGCAAGAATTCAAAAATCAAGAGAGCGGACGGCTTCCAGTATTTTTTTTATATTTGACTGACTTCATTTTAGAGAAAACGAAATCCAGGTGTGGAACACAATGGCCAAAACAGGTTCTAGAGGGCTTTGAAGGAAGCGGTGAGGTGGTTATTGGTACAGCAATAGCGAAAACAGCACAGAAATACGTCAAGAAAACCGTAGGGGACCCCCCTTGTTCGGCATTTGAACCTCGCTCAAGCCAAGACGGCGGGCGTATGGACGAGTTTGTCGCAACGCGTTTGGTGGCACCATGCCAAACCATGCTCCAGTCGAGTTGCTCCAGTTGTGCCGCTGCTGGCAACGCAGCTCGTCCAAATCACCAACTAAACTAGTGGGCGGATCGCTTTTGGGGCGGAGTGCTTTCGAAGTCCTGCTCAGCAACCAGCGCACCTTTCCTTCCCTTCATTGGCAGTCAAAAAGCTGCTTCACGTGGCGCATACACTTCCCTAATGCGCTCCTCTTTATCGCTTTCTCTCGAATTTTTTATTATCTTCCTTTCAATTTTTTTTCGTAGGTTCTGTCCAATAGTCCAAGATAGAAATGTCAATACGCTTCACAGGACGTATTCAATATGTCCAGGACGTGTCTGCCAGAAAATAGTGTTTTTAATACACTTTTACTTCCCGAGTGTAGAGGAGAAATATTGAGAGGTGAAAGATTACTAGTTCTGAAAGATGACCTATGATTTTGCACGGCACTGCCTAAATCGATTGAGTTGCAAAGAGATGAAGTAGTAAAATTCCACCAAATTTTGGTATACATAAATCAATAATTGCTTTATTTTGCATTAAAATTTACACCCTTAGATTACATAATTACAGTAATAGGAGAGACGATCTGGAGCATAAGCAATCCCTTGATGAAGGAAGGGCCCTGAGATTTCTCGATGAGCATTCCAATGAATGGGTAGTGAACGGCCTGCTGTCGTGTCCTCAGCATTCTCCATGGCAGTCGCCTGAAAAATGAACAGGTCGCTAATTGGGATCCAGTATTTCGCCTGAACCGCGTTTTCTGACGGGCTACTTTTTGCGAAGGGAATGAAGTGCTGAATAATCTTCCAGTTCTTACCGATCCTACATCAAACAGTCAGGGATACTTGACTGCGAACTGCGCCCACAACATACCTTCTAGTACCAGAAAATGCTCAAAAGCTAACGGATAGGATCGGAAAGTTGGTCGTCGATGAAATTGAAGGGAAGGCGTAGTGAAGGGAGGCAGTGCAGGAACTGAGGAATATCCAAAAATCGTCTTCCCACGCTGACTTTCCCACTCAATAGATGAGTTATCCTCGCTGCTGACATTATCGCGTTAGTTGCTCTGTTCTTGGCCTCTCTGCAAAGACTTACTAGAGGCCGACGGAGCGAGAGAGCAAGTTAAATAGCCAACCGGGTGGTTCGTTCATGGGGGGATGCCCACATTTTGCCTCTCTGGGCAATGTGCTTATTTAGGAAAGCCAGTTCAACCCAATCGGACAATGCCAACTTTTAAAAATCAACACTGGTCGCTTAATATCCTACTCGCCAGCGATTTCAGTCAATATGTATCTGATATGTTCAGCGGAATCGCCTACTATCCTAATCGCGTCCTCTACTACTATCCTACTATCCTGATATCCTGATCGATATGTATTTTATGTGATCAGCGGAATCTCCCACTATCCTACTATCCTACTCTCCTACTATCCTAATCGCCTACTCTACTACTATCCTACTATCGTAATATCGTAATATCCTACTCTCCAGCGATTTCAATCGATACGTATCTAATCTTGTCAGCGCACTATCCTACTCTCCTACTATCCTAATCTACTACTATCCTAATCTCCCCGTCAATACATATCTTTTTCATTGTCGCGTACTATCCTAATCTCCGGAGTCGCGAACTATGAACGCGGCCCCCCCTAAGGCTTATCATTTATTTACATTCACCATTATTTAGAACCCCGAAAGGATTAGCGGTTTAATGAGTTTGGGCTTTCTTGATAGAAATGAAAGTTATCATTTGCTGAAGACTTGATTGAGTTTATGCAATCGACTGCTATTAAGTAAGCTGGTCATACAATGATACAATGTGCACGTACCACTGCAAATAGAATTTGTAAGTAGGGGCGCTCTAGTATCAGCGCAAGCTACGCAAGCTGCGTTCTGACGCGCCTTATCAGCCTTTATCAGTTGTAACCACTTTCCATCACCCAGCAACAATGTTCCCGTCCCACCCCTTATAACACTTGTAAGTAGGGACGCTCTAGTGTCAGCGCAAGCTACGTAACGGAATCGACGACTTTTGCGTTCTGACGCGCCTTATCAGCCTTTATCAGTTGTAACCACTTTCTATCACCCACCAACAATGTCCCCGTCCCATCCCACATAACCTTGTAAGTATGGTTGCTCTGGTGTCAATGCGAGCAGGTAACGGAATCGACGACTTTTGCGTTCTGACGCGCCTTATCAGCCTTTATCAGTTGTTATCACTTCCAATCCCAGCAACAATGTTCCCGTCCCAATCCCACATAACACTTGTAAGTATGGATTTCTCTGGTGTCAATGCGAGCTAGGTAAACGGAGTCGACGACTTTAACGTTCTGACGCGTCTTATCAGCCTTTATCAGTTGTTATCACTTCCAATCACCCAGCAACAATGTCCCCGTCCCATCCCACATAACACTTGTAAGTGTGGATGCTCTGGTACCAACGCGAGCTGGGTAACGAAATCGACGACTTTTGCGTTCTAACGCATCTTATCAGCCCTTATCAATTGCTATCGCTTTCATTCATGTACCACCAATGTCCCGGGACCACCCCACACAACACTTGTAAGTATATAGACACTCTAGTACCAATATGAACGACAAAACCAAATTGGCGATGCTCGCTTTCTAGCCCCTCTTATCAGCTATTATCAGTCGTTATCAGTTCCAATAACATACCACTTGTGTCCCCATCCCACCCCCTATACACACATCATGGTGCCACCTTGTTCTTTAAGTTGCCATTTTTTACTGTTCGCTCTGCCTACCCACATGTTTGCTCTCCAAGAAAGAATGAGAAAGCTTCGTTGAAGTCAACGGAACCGATAGCACGGACCAAGGTGGGTGCGACCGAATAGCTCTGATGGTCACCTATCTGAGAGCAAGGCTGAATGAAATTTTTTGACCGCGAAGGTGGCTGCAAAAATAGCGGCTGTTCGTGGCATTGTGGCTAGGGTTAAACATGGTGGTGCCAAGTAAGACGGCGAAAATCATGCCTGTGAAAGCTACTCCTCCAAAATATCCCGCTTACTAGAATTCAGACATAATATATAAAGTGAGTTTAACCTTCTATGTAATGCTTTCTTGACGTCATAGGAGTCCAGTTCCCGTCAAGGTGATAACGTCGTGCTGAACGCCCATGGAACCATTGTTGTGGATGATGAATTGTCGCGTAATGGGCGTCATTGCGTTTTCTTTCAGCTTCAAGAGCAGAAATGCGTAAGTGACAACCACAAGACACGAGCTAAAGAAACGTTGTTGAAAATTGGCCATGTGCAACAACCTCTTCAGCAGAACTTACCGTGAAAAAAGTGGTCCGTTCAAGTGGAAACGCACGCCAGACTGTCATTCCCCACATGAACTGCGTGGACATTTTGTGCACGAAGCATGAAATCTGCAACAAATCATCTAAGTTACTGCAATTTGAGATATACGCCGTGCTCTCGACTATTGTTCAGCATATCCGAGGTGATTGAATAAACCACTTCCCAGAACATGGGTAGTGCCAGAGCCCTACCGTCAGTGCTTCAAAGTATTTTTTACCAGTGTTTATTTAAGCTCGAGCGAGCAGGCGGTAAATAGCCTCATCAATTTCGAATAAGTTCGCATTGTATGGTTAAGACAGTGTCAAAAATCACCTGGAACCGATCCAAGTCCGCATTTGCATCCGGAACGATTCGAAGGACGGCATTCACAATGCCGCGTGTCTGAAAGAAAAGGTTATTTTCGTGCAAAAAAGGTATTTCCACTCCAGGACCTACCGTCTCGTTCGTGTTCATTCCCTGTATGGCATATAATGCTGATGTGCATCACGGCCACCAACACCTGCAGTCCAGCCCAGCAGATTGTAAAGTGAACACTGCGCGTCAATCGACGCCTAATTTCTGGTACAGTAATCTTGCTTCCGGTGAAATCGGTTCACAAGCTGAATGACAAACGATTGTAGAGTTTGTGGCCTTGTCTGAAGAGAAGAAAACGCTCTTAAAAAGCTCCAGAGATTATATGGGGGCTTATACGGCCGGCATTACGACCGCCGCGCGTCAAGCACCGTCAAATTCAAGCTCTCGTTTTCAGGTGGTATCAAATGGATAATTTAAAAAATATGTTACCGTAAGAAATCACCTTGAATGCGGTTGTGTAATAAAGTATATCGTAAGGCATAGGACAAGCATTGACCAAGCCAGCGAAAAAAGTATAAAAGGGTTAATATAAAAAACAAGATTATCCAACGGCCTCCCTGCAATGATTCTTACATTTAATATCCGATTAGACATCAGCGACAGCTCCAAGATCTGAAGAACTAAAGAAGAAGAACTGTACCTGAGCTTAGTGACCTCGTAGAAATGCTCATAATAACATTGAGAATGAACTGTCTCTTACATGCTTCCATATGGAGGGATTTATGAGTGTCCCTGAAATCTTTTCTATAGATTTTTTAGTCAGATTCTCTAGAAGCGGCAGTGAATTGCATGGGCCACGTAGTGGAAACCCCACCATGTTTTATGGTCTCACTCATGTAATGCATTAAACCCATCAGGCAGCTTCACCCATCCCCCGAGCCAGTTCCTTAATCTTGGTTCCAATAGTTGTTGCATTCGGCTCGTCCTTTTTCGGCACCACCTGCTCGCAGTGGTAATGCGTGTGGAACTGGATTCGGGAAGGGGAAGGAAAACTCGGCTTTCCAATACTTTCACTTTCCGGCTTGCAACGGTCCAAAGAAACAGTCCTGAATTAAGAGTGGACAGGCGCTAACACCAATGGGGGGGGGGGACAAAGAGGTCCTTCAGGGCAAGCCACGCTTTTTCAAAACGTTTTCTGCATATTGTAGGGAGGGATGCATAGGGAACACAAAACCATGTTTCATTTTCGCTGAACGGTTTTAGCAGTACCAAAAAAGAAGCATAAGGTACTGTTAATGGTTCGATCCCCGTGGCGACTAAATTTTGCATTTGGGTTGGCGCCTTCGAATTGGTGCCAAAAATCGTGCCAAATGTCACAATCAGGTGTCACACTCATCGTCAGGACCATTTGAAGCCACCAAGTGGCCGTCAACCTTAATTGCAAAATTTATTCGCCGCGGTGACCTCAACCTATCGAGGTCATCAATTGCATTCAACTTTTTTGAATACTGCTTAAAAACCGCTTCGTTCAGCGAAAACAAAAACAAATCGGTTTTGTGTCAATACGTTCCGCTGCAACAGGTAACTGATCCAATTTCCAAAAAGCGCGGCTTGCCCTGTGAGACCTCCCTTGTATGGGTAGAGGAGTTGTAGTAGGATGGATGACCAGCTGCAGAAAATTGGGTAGGATGTGAGCAGGTTGTGTGAGCGGTGGAGCCCAGTGCATATCATATATCCGTTTACGTATTATCTCACCCTCAAAGTTAGTGAGCCCTAAAAGTGCTCTCTATACATACTATAAAAGAACTAAGAGTGTACCCCCTCTTGCCCCAACCATCCTATTCACCGTCAAATTTTTTAATATAGTCAAATGCCCGCAGACCATGCCTTAAGTTGGACCCGATCTCTGCAGGCGGATCAATGAAGTTTCATGACCAACGCACACACAGCTAATCACATATGGGGTGTTTCAGAGTAGCATCAATTAGTGAGGCAAAAGATTTGTATTGCACGTAAAAAATGCTCAAACCTGCAGTAGAATCGGACAAGCCGGTTGTACAAATCATAGTAGAGCAACGGTATGACATTCCATAACGACAGCGTGGGCACGATGACGAATGCCGTGTCTTGGATGACACTCGAGCCGAACCTAAAAAACTGGCTTTAGCAAACAAGTGGGAAATATGCGCTACACATTCTGTACTCTATGAGAACTAGTATGAGGACTGACTGGGCGTGAATCCTGCTATATGTACATACAAAAAGAATTAGCCATCAAATTTAGCCTTAAGGTTCCAGATGCTGGGACAATATAGAACGTAAGTACATGGCACAATTTCACCCACATGGACCGTGGACCAACTGGTTTCTCATCGAGCTCTTCGGGGCCCTAGATTGCCCTTTCGTTCCGGGAAGAAAATCTACTGATTCCTCCTGGTTTCCACAAATCGATTTCAGGTCAAATACGGACTCAATCCTCACTCGAGCCGTGTAAAAAGTCGAATCTGCAGCTCAGTCACATGGTGGAAGAAAAGGACCAACGGTGGCTGCTGCAGCCCCCGAAAAAACCTGTCTCTTGGTATTGATAGTTTAACTCTGGAAAGCGCCACGTACTATCTTCTAAATGTTGTTATGACATGACTTCACCCAAAATTTAATCCTCGGAATATATGGATGGTGGTGCCCTAATCATGCACTCATATCCGCTCCTGTAATGGTACATGGTTGACAGATTCGTTGGCCCCCAAGCACAATGGTCTAGCAGAAGATTGAATGTTATGCGGTGTGAGGGTAGAGTGGGCGTTTCCTCGCAGAGTACTAAAATTTATGCTCCCTTCGACCAGAAACATCGACAGTTTCGCGACGGCGATCTCCTTCCAGACCGGCTAAATTGTTTTCGTACGATCACCTGCTGCAATCCTTCTTAAGATGATCCGCATAAACACTTCTTACTGAGGATGTTGCGATGGGAAACACATCAAGCGATACCACAAACACCTATACGCTCCACACCTCTGATTTGCTCATCGTTGCAGGAAAAAACCACGTAGAGCCACCAGGTGCAGCGAGTTCGATTCCCCGTGGCGCAGAGAATGGCCTCATTTGGAATCTTATGGTTAGGCCTGATCCTTCGCCGGGTGTAAGCCGTTGAATGGCTCACTGAAGGAATAGAGGAAAAGGAAGATCGTGGGTCATCGGTTGGCTCCTTTCGGGATTCGCCACGCATTCAACTTTCGCTCATGATCTTACGTTAGCTGCATTCGTAGTTGACTTGAAGAATAACATAATTTTCGACGCTGATTCTTCAAGCTAGCATTTGTCACCTCCAGATCTGCATGTACTTGAAGAGTTATTCTCTCGTGTCTCCTCTCGTCTCGCGACTGTGTCTCCTCGATGCGTCACGGTCAGCCCCCAAGGTGAAAACGACGTACCTTTTTTCAGTGTTTTGTTACAATTTCTTTTGCTTTTTTTCTCACTAGCGATCCTCATTACCACTAAATGTTTCGAATTTGGGCAAAATAGCCCTCTGTTTTCGATCGTGATCAGTGTCTTTGAGTCCTGTCTTAATTGTTCATCTGAGATGCGAGCGCTTAAATTGAATGATGGTAGTATGTATGAACTCAGAAAAGATTCGTTGTTTCACTTCACTGAAACTGGACGAGAAGTATCACTACTACGATATCTGCAGGAATTAGAGCGTTCTTCAGATGGAAAGAAGGGTTAATATCATTGGAGGCAAGTTTCAATCCTTTGATTACTCTCGATCCACGGTGTATCTAACGTGCAGGTATCTTTCGACTAATGGCATAGAGTAGTGCCGAGAATGAACGTACGCGCTGCGGGAGAACGTAACTGATCAGGCGAGAATCCTCGAAGTGCTGTTGTGGAATTCTCGACCGATATTTCACCCTGCCCTTCGACATGCGCGTTGAGTGGTGGCAGTATAGCACCCTGCTCTTTTGCAGAAAAAGAAAAAGAGGGATGTCAAAACAGTGAAAAAATCTATGAAGCGATACATACAAATCAGGGTGGCAACATCAGGTGTAAGTACTGGAGGGTGAAGAAAAACAGTGACGCCTTTGGTAGTCAAAAAATCAGAAAGTCCTCCTTCAGTCTGAGAGGAGATGAAATGAAAAACGAAATAGTCGAATAGTGCAAAAAGGAGAGATGAAACAAGTCTGTAGACTGCGTTCTTCCCTCGATAACACAACTGCACTTACTTTTGATCGGTGTAGATAAATTCGACGACTTTGAAGGTAAATGGCATCACAGTAAAAAATCCAACGAGTACAAAAAATACGGCTACATAGCATCGAGTGGGCGGCGATAAATGGAAGGCAGTACGAAAGCACAAATCGATGGTGTCCAACGTCTGAAAGAACTCTTTCAGAGAATTCGACTCTATGTTAGACTCTGAACCTTAATATTAACCATAACAGTACAGGCCCAAAATAGGACATGGATAGTGGTTTTCAGAATGAGGCTCTAATTGCTACGCGGTGGAAAACGTAAAAAAAAAACAAGAAGTAAATAAAATACCCTCCCTTTCAAGAACCTTCAATTTATGTGAAAACAAGAAGAAACACTGCGCGTTAGGATGAGCGAGTAGACGTTAATTCACACCAACTCTCTCGCCTCTCATATTTGCTCTCGAGTGGACCTTATTCTGATGGCGTCCCTGGGCCCCAAGGTCAGCCGTGCGTTCGGCCGATACCAACGATGGTGGTCGTACTTGGGGTTTTCGAAGGTGATGGGACACCTAGCAACGGAAGGTGAAGAGGAACTAATTTTCAGAGGTTTTCTTGCTTATAATTCCAGAGCTCACGGAGAGATGCATGGAATATTTACAATCTATGTATTTGCTGCATCCTCAAGTAGAAGCTGAAACCCGTTTAGTGGAAAGAAAGACGAACTCTCTGAGGTGCAGGCCAACAGGCAATTTGCTGCGAAGGATGTCTCCGGCAAGCATGACCGTCCCCGCGGCGCTATCAATGCTGAACGCCCACGGACTGGCTAACCACTCGCAGCAGGTTCCTAGCTGCTTACCAGGGAATGTTTTGAACTTCCCATGGAACTTTGAAAGGAGACCTAGGTACATCGATAGAGTCTTGGACGCTGATTACAAATATGGACACTAAAACTGCTACGTGAACTTTATAAGAAAGTTGTGCCTTCAAAGTTGTAAAGAACGACGTGATGAGAATGAGGTGAAACGCTAATGATGACGTGCAACCTATGTGGAAATACGGTTGATTTTGGCCTGGAATTTATTCTATGAAGATAAATGGGTTCCCTGATTAGGAACATGGTTACTTTTTGCCTGAAACTTGTTCTATAAGGGTAAATGGGTGCCCTGATTACGAATATGAGACTCGTTTTTAGCGCAGAGCCACGGCACGGCGACTGTGATTCCACCAGGTAAGCTCGCCTCAGTAACGTTTTTTGCCAACTTTGAAGGCTCATAACTTTCTTAGGTTCACGTAGCAGTTTTAGTGTCCATATTTGTAATCAGCGTTCAAGACTATCGATGTATCTGAGTCTCCTTTCCAAGGTTAATTGGGAAGCTCAAAGCGTTCCCTGGTTAGCAGAAAGTTCGTCAGCGGTAAAGAGAACAGCACCGATGAGGACGGCATCAGTGCGGAACTCAATCAGCAAGAAAGGAGTCCATCTCGTAGGTTCTCAGGTTAAGCCGTTTTGCGTTGCATTTTCTTCATCTCGGCACCACGGACACTTGTACCTTGATTCTTATGGGCTACCTTTTAATGTAAACTCCGCCTTTGAGAAGGCATTCCCTAGCCAATCATTAAATACAGGGCTGTATCGATTCAGTCTCATAGACAGACGTAGACGTACGTACCTTGATCAATTTCATATGCTCCCGTAGGCGAATCGCGAAAAGCCCGATAAGAAATATGTTGATCATCGGCTTGATACCAGTGATTATACACGAAACTGTTGAGGCATGCATAAGACCGAATCGTTCCTGAATCAAATGCATAGCTCTCCAACAGCTACAGAGAAAAATTAACTCAAATTGAAGGTGAAACAAATTCATATAAGCTTCTGATTTTTTTTTCTTGTGAAATCGCTACAAAATCAATATGGTTCACACAGAATAATAGGAACCTCCCTAACTGTATTGCCAATAATACAGCACTGCTAATTTTCGCACCGCAAACTGTGACCAAAAACAGCACTTAAAGGCAGAGGATGCGATGGATGGAAGGCGGAGTTTTGATGACGTCATTGGGATTTCATTGCATTGGTAGAGGGGGAATGTAGTCTGGACCACCTTACAATCAAAACCGTTCCTATCAACCGTCACAGACATTGCTTCGAATAAAACGAATCAACTCGAAAAAAACTTTTCGTAGGACGATCAACTATGTACGCGGTAAATGTAACCCTTTGCTCTAACTCACCCCCCTCCCCACTCCTCTCATCTGGTCGTGGAATAGTTATCAATATGATTCCGAAGGTGACATAAAGCACCATTGTCTTAAATGGCGAGAAAACTGCTCGACCTTCGAAAAAAGTGCAATTAAAATGTTCTTGCACGTCCCATCAGCTATTCGCGCTCACAATAGATGTGCTTTGCACTTCTTGGGTTAGACAGTGCATTCGCCTACACTTGTGCCTAATGTTCATCCCAGTGCAGCGGGGAATGCTTCCAAATTTATTCTCCGGGAATGCTTCCAAATTTATTCTAATAAGGAGAGGCTTACTGTAGCTGCCAGGGTAGCGATCCAACTAGTGTGTTGCTTCGTTCCAGAACTGGACAGGAAGTGCGAAGAGGAAATTACTGGAGGAAGAAGCGGAAAGCATTATAAGAAAGACCGAAATTTCTTTGCGAGGTCAGTCGTGGTGTGATGAAGAGACTCAGCGTGGCGAGGAGGGCGAAAACGCGAGAGGGCACGTCATACGCGGATGGGAAAACATGTCACGTATGCAGCGATTTATAAGAATGGCAGCGGTTGCAGCGTTCAAGCAAAGGCATTATTCCCTTTGAGCGCGATAGAACCACCACTCCTGTGAATGGGGTCTGCTCTGCCTCGAACCTCGTCATCCTTTAGCCAAATTCCTTTATGTAGGACATCCAATTGAGACGTTTTGTTCTAATAGCCTAATGGCTCATTCAGCTCAATTGTTGAAGATAATGGGTGTATTATTCGAAAACTGATAGTGCGGACCAGGATCCAGATTTAACGATTTGCGGATTTGCACGTTCTCTCCCAGTTGTTCTGAGCCTTTTTGCATGAAATTAGTATAACCAGCACTGATGCATAACACTTTAAATTTAAATATGCTATAGCTTCAACAGAGCACCAAAATTCACTCCGGAACAATTCAAAAGTTCACAGAAGTCATTAGTATTCCAAGAATGAAAAAATTCCAAAAACATTTGTTTGGAAAAAATGAGATTTTTCTCTGACATCTTCGGAATACTTGGAATTTTGTGGTCTTTTGGAATTCTTCTGAAATAAAGTTTTGGTACCTCTTTATGTTATACAATTTTGGGCTCTGATGAGGACTCCGAACAGTCAAGTACTGACGCTGAAAACTTTGATTTGAGTTGGAATTAAAAGGTTAATAAACAAATTTCTTAGTCCTGATGACGTTCTATTTTTGGATGGTGAAAATGTTTCCTCAGAAGGCTTCTGTTTTGCTAAAAACAATGGCCACAAAGGACACGAAGGAAAAAGAGAAAAATGTCATCTTGGAATTTTTCACTGAAGTGCTTCTACACACGAATGCGTGTTTAACTTGACACATACGAAATCTTTTACAGATGGCGAGAGCGCGTGGCGCCGCCTACTCTAATAAAGCAATTTGGATCGCTTGACATACATCCAAATAGTGTACATGCGCACTTACCTTGAAGGCCGTTATTAACCAGAGGTTTTTGTTGAGTAGATAACAATTGAAAAGTATCGCCAGTGCCGAGTAGTTGAGCATGAGTATTAGTCGCTGAAATGTAGACTTTATGTTTAGTATTAGTCAAATACCTATTGTAGATCATGTTCATTATCTCAGTATACGACTTACGAAATCTAAATGCAAAAATGAGGAACCCGACAAGAAGCTTGGCTGCTGCGAAGAAAGCAGCCATGCCCAGACACGCGTCCAGCCGGGCGCAGCCGAGCCGGCAGTAGATTTTACCTCAAATCGAAAGAGAGCGCCCTAAATTCATCGCCGTACAAACACGCCGCTGCAACTCCGTTCCGCCTGACCTGTCTGCGTCTCTACTATTTAGCCGGACGCGGCTCCTGGCGCAGGACTGATTCAATATCTTTTACATAATCCATAGTAATCTGAAAAAAGCAATTTCATTTTTTTGAAAACTTCTTCTCACATTCATTTTGAGCAAGAAATTCCACTCAAATTTCCACTTCTCTTGTACACTTCTTCTCAAGTTCTTACTCAAGAGTCCTGACTACGGATCATTTTTCCCGCGATATTCATAGAAATTTTGATTTGGAGCAAGAACTATGTGACTTACCGTAGCCTCCAACGAGGTTTCCGATTGGAATTCGGATTCGGGAACAAACCCAAGATCTGCAGTGTCATGAGGACTGGATAAATCGATCGAGAAACACTCGTTTCCTCTGGCACTGGAAGAAAATATTGAGAAAGTGATATTTCTCGGAAACTAAGAAATCCGAAAACCGTATAAGATGGGTAGCTCCTCAGTTCACTCTGTTTTTGCGTCGCTTCTACAGAAGCAATTACAATACCTCAAGTGCAACAGCATTACCCTGCGAAGGTTGAGGTCAAATCTGGGAAAGGGTTTTTCTTTCGACTGAGGCCGTGTACCGGCTTCTGAGGCCGACGAAAATTCGAAGCACTACGATTGATTATAGCAATGCATAGTGATTATACACTTCTCAACAATCAGCCTCTGCTCTGCTGGCATCACGGAATATTTATCACAAGATCATCATCGGAAAAATTCATTGCAATTTTTACCTTATTTATTCACTGCTTATTTTATTTTATTCTGTGCTTTTCACTCGGTTCCGCAAGAAAACGTGAGCTATAATCCCTTTTCAAATATTCTCATTTTCATAGAATTTCAGTGAAACACTTGTAATGTAAGATCTAAAGATTCGACTAAACTTTTCTGGAAATTTAGCAATGGTCTGTTTAAACTTTGGGAATTAGAACTTGTTCAGTAGTATTAGCTGTAAAATAGATACGGTTCTCTAGATAAGCACCAAGACAAATGGTAATTTCTTGCTGAGCTGTAAATCGCCATCTTTCCGTGGTAGGAAAGAAGCGGCACATTGTGAAATTTGAGAGTCCACGAATTTCGTCGGACGGGATAGATGTATTTCTTATGACGGAGAAGAACTCTAGATGATGAAGTTTTTGGTAAAGAGGGAAAATCGAGGAACTAGTTTAGGTTTCCTGCTTTGAGTGACTCAACGTGAAGTGCCCATCCCTGATTTCAGAGCAAGGTGCGTATTCTATAGAGCAGCGCGCGACCCATGTAAAGGGTGCATATGTAAGCGTCTGAGCGCGCCTAATCTCTACTCCTGGCCTTCTAGCTGATCAATTTTTCGCAGCTTCTAATCAAATAATGAATACTGTGGACGAGTGCCGATAAAAGGCGGGAATTAAAGACAAGTCTCGGGATTAGGCTCACTGGTAGAAGCCGCGCCACGAGTGAGTTTGTAGAGCAGGGGAGTACAGAGGTTTCAGCCCTATAGGTTCACTCGTGGTTCGGCTCCATCTTCGTCAACTTGAAAATGGCGTTAGGGCACCAAGCAAACTTGATTTAACCCTTAGACTACGACTTTTTTAGAATCGAGTTATAAATGTGTTCTGCGTTGCAATTATCCCTCCCAGCAACAGGCAACCAGCTGTAGAAATTTGGCTGATGTACGTTGGGTGTGACCTGGGATTTGATCTAGGGACCACGCGCGCGGTAGCGGCCCTCTTGCCATTACACCATTTCCGCTCGGATGAGCATTTTTGAAACATCAACTGGTAATTCAGTTACCATTCGACAAGTGCACACTCTCACAGCTCAATCGTGCAATAAGCCAGTGTCCTGTTGGGAACGCACTTGAAAAGAATTGCAAGCCGCATTTTGTAGAAGTGCTGCTCTACTGCCTGTAGGATGCGCCCACCGACTGCTTCTTCTCTGACGAATTTTCGTTGGATTTCATGCTCAAAATCTGCGTCACCATAGGGGGTCTTCCATTATCACTTCCTCACCATCCAAACTGACAGAACTCTGGAGGTTAGAATTTCCAACGCAGTCGAGTAGGCTGCGTCGTCCTCTGACTGGATTGCGGCCGATAAAATGCCTCTGTCCGTCATCAGTTTGCTTACGTTTCACGTGATACAATAATTAAGGGAAACACTAGAACCATTAGCGCAAGGATGAAGAGTGTGAGACTCAAAAATTACCTTTTTGGGAGCTGCGCACACTGTCCAGTGACCTGTGGTACCACTTGCTTACTAAACTATCCAAAGTAACTCGTTCTGACTTGTGACAATTTGGTGTCACAGTAAGAATCATAAAGTTTCTATTCGTGCATAATTTCCCTATCAAACGGGCTCTACGATCTCTATAAGTGCCAAAACTGTGGTAGTGTCTTTGACTACGAAGTGGGACACATGTGTACCACCAGTAGTCAAAGATTAACTTACGCAGGATGACTCGCTTTAGCTTCTGACGACTAATTGTCATAGTAGGAATTAGAAAGCTTCTATATGTGCACAGTTCAGCCATCAAATGAGCCCTCCTGCCTCAATATTCCCTGGAACTGTGGTAGTGTCTTTGACTACAAAGTGGGACACATGTGTCCCACCAGTAGTCAAAGGGTTAAGCAAACTTTTCCCACCACCACGCTTAAAGCAACAGTCCAGGCAGGGTTTCAACTACTTGGTCATTAGGCGGTCAAAACATGCCCCAGCCCAACTAAAGTTTATAGGAAATGTCTTTAAGTTCAAAACCTACCTCTAAAATGCGCTGGAAGGGGTCGAAGT